TTCGACGTCGCTATCGGGCGTGTGTTTGGTCTTATGGGCGCACTAATACCGGCTCCGCTGATGGAAGCGACAGGCAGGTGGTACTGGGGCCTATGGCTCGGATTCATCTTCAGCGTCTTTGCGTGGGTGCTGTGTCTGGTATATGTTTTGCACGAACGTACGCTGCCTGCACCTCGGAAAATAGCCCAGTCCATGCCTCACCGACGTCGCATGTCGCCTTGGCAGCATGTCACCGCATTCTTGGGCCAGTTTTGGGACCATGTCGCCCAGGTGCCCGCCGCGTTTTGGATCCTCATTCTTGTACAGCTTCTCCAAACCGGCGCCGTTGCCGCGTACGAGTCAAACACGGTCGATATGATGGTCGTGACCCGCGGCGAGGACAATGTGGCGTCACTCAAGTCGGCGGCGTACAAGTATTCCATGCACTATGCTATACCCATCGTGCTCACGCCCTTCGTGGGCCTCGGTTTCGACAAGTTGGGCTACCGAAGTGCTGCCATTTCGGTGTGTGCCTGCTTCTACATCATAGCCATGTCGCTGATGGGCTTTTCCCATGTGCATCCTGTCGTACCGATGCTCTTCGATGCATTTGGGTACACACTGAACAGCGTGCCGTTTCTCGCGACTGTGCCGCTGCTTGTGCGTCGGCAAACGCACATGGGCACAGCACATGGTATTTTGAAGGCGTTCAATGCATCTGGCGAGACCATCATGCAAGTCGCTGGTGGCTCGCTCCAAGACCGAGCAGTGAGGCACGGTAAGCCCATGCGCGAAAAGTACGACTACATGCTGTACCTGGTGCTGACCTTCAAAGGACTCGAAGCCCTGTACGGGGGCCTCTACCATGTCCTGGACCGGCGCTACTTTGGCGGTGTCATGCGCATGACAGAGAAGCAGCGCGTGAAAAAAGAGGCCGAGCTCGGCGAGCAGAGCTACGGCTCACTGTGTCGGCCACATGCTTTCTGGACGGTGCTGGGCTGCGTCACATCTGTGCTGATGGTGGCGGCGGCCTACGGTGTATTTATCCACTTCTGGATCACGAATCCCGACGAAAAACCTGGCACGGCCTGATACCCTCCCAGCGGCGCACACGCCAGAGGCCCTAGGTGATAAGATGACATTATAAGGTGTATAGCTCTCGACCCACAGGGCAGCCCCTACTTACCATGGCGGTGGCGTCGCAGTGCCAATGCGAGGCGCATGCAACTCGTGTATGGAGGCGCGTACCTCACTCCCAGCTTGGGCCCCCTTTTTTTTCTACCATGGGAACCAAGCGCAAAGCGACGAAGCCCGCGGTCGATTTCACCAAGACCAAGCAAAAGCTCGGCAAGGGTAAGCAGGCGGCGAGCAATGCCACGGACACGTCGTTCCGCGCCAAGGCCATTGCGATGCCGCAGCAGTCGATCCTGCTCGATCGGTCACAACAAGTGACGACGCGCCGTCGGCAGACGCTCAGTGATCTCGTGCAACACACGCATCATCCTTCGCCCGGCGTGCGAAAAGACGCCGTCATGGGCATGCTCGAGCTCGTGAAAACGTATGCGGGCTTTCTCGAGCTGCACTGCGCAGCTCTGATCAATGCCGCTTTGCCACTCCTGGGCGATGACGACGTGCATGTTCGAGGTGCTGTGGCGACGTACCTCGGCGTCCTGCTTGACAGGCTCGACGACGAGGCGTTCGCACCATTTGCGCCATCCATGCTGCTGCTTACGACGTCTGCCATGTCGCACATTTCCATGGCCGTGCGAATCGATGCCTTGCGCGTCCTGTCCATGCTGCTGGACAAGGTGCCTGCTCTTGCCACCGAAGACTGGGAAAGTGCTTTGGATAGCCACAGTGGATCTGACCGGCACGGCCAGCGCCTACTGCAGGCGTTTTTTGCGATGCTGGGCGTCGCGGCCGATGCACACCGCCAACGCCTAGGTCTGTCGACGGCGTCGACGGCGTCGGTCGAGTTGGGCACGTCGCAGCGACTGCGTATTCTGCGTGCACTTGGTCAATTTTTGTCCGTGACGGACCAAGAGGAACACGGCATGTGGTGCTTCCAGTCGGCGTTCGCGTCGCCCAGCGATCTCGAGCACTTTGAAGGCCTGTTTCAGCCCAGCAAGGCATGTGCGTCGTGGACCATAGCAGCCATGCCCAGCGCATCATCCTATGAGATCCACGAAGCCCTCGTACATGGCGCCACGAGTCAAGAGGCGCCTGTGAGCGCACATGAACGCCTCGTACGCATCCTGCACCCATCACTGCTATCGACGCTACTCGATGCCTTGCCCAGCGTCATTTCCCCTGATGGCCATCGATCGGAGGCGCACGCCGAGCTGGCTCAGCATATCCTGCAAGTATACCTGCTTCTATGGCGCAGGACCATTACGTCGCATCTGGCCGCGGGTGCCTCGCAAGGCACGACGCGCGTCGCCGTGCCGTCTTTGCCCCAACTGAGTCAGCTTTTGACGCATCTGGCGCCCTACTTTGCCGAGAAAAGCGAGATGCTACATCTCCATGTCGTGTACTGTGAACTCGTGGCACTCTACACGGTCGCCACACAAAAGGCACACCACTTGTCGTCTGTCCCGTTTCTCCTCGACCTCCTGTCAGAGCCTTCTCTGTCGCCCGCCCTGTACGAGGCCCTGCTCCCGACGTTCTGGCTCGTCGTATCCTCACCGATGGACGGCCACACGGACGTCATGGCAGCTCTGCTGACCCATTTCGATACCCTGCGTGATCGAACGCTCCAAGCCGTGGCGTTCCGCTTCCTTGCGCGACTCGCTATGCTGCCGACGTACAAATCCCTGCAAGCGAACATCGATGCATTGTATACCCCACTGTGGAATCCCTGGATCCTGTCGCTCCCCCGTGTGCTCTGGCAGGCCGCAACGTGGGCCGTCTCGTCGAAGGCCTCGCCCGCCGAGGCGCGTGACGCCCAGCGTCTCGTCGAGGACGTCCTCACGTTTCTGCGCTGGATCGCCCTCATGCCACGCCACCCGTTCTTTGATCACGCCCACGTCCTGAACGAGCTGGCTCCCCGCCTCACACCGCTCTTTCAGGTCGAGCATCCCCAACGGGGCCCGATCCCTGGGCCGTACCATAAATGGCCCGTGGCCACGCAGCACTTGGCCCAGGCCCTGACTAAGCTCGTATCGTCCCCATAGTGTGCCTTATGATGTCATCCACGGCCTCCTGCGCCGGCCTCCGATTCGATCGTGTGTCCTGGCTGCGCGGCTCGAATGTCTTCCTGAACGCCGCGCTCACGAGCGACGCCGCGCGCATTCTTCTTCTAGACCGTGGACATCCACTCGTGCACAGGACCGCGGCGCGCCGAAAGCAGGTCTGCTACGCCTCGTGGTCTGACGTGCGGTCCACCGTCCTCGCCTGCGTCGATCGACCCGAGTATGGCGTATTCGGCCCCGAGCCGTACAACCTGCGCATGCGCGAAGGCAGTCCTCAAAAAGCATGGCTTGGCAGTACACAGGGCCTGATCTCGCCCCTCTTGTCCTTGGCCTTTCTTGGTATCGAGATTCGTGAAGACGGGCCTAACTGGCCTGCCGAGCCTGGCCTGCATGTTCCTAAAGGCACGCCCTACTTTGTGCTCTCTCTCACCGCATCCTCGCAGCACCGTCATGCGTGGACCAAGGCGTGCGACGTTCTGGATATGCGCAAGGCCATCGCACTAGGCTCCTTGGCGCCCCAAGACACAGCCCTCGTGAGCATGGCACGCTCCCTGATCGACTGGAATGAGCGTATGCGGCACTGTCCTTCTTGTGGCAGCAAGCAGTACTCGGCCCTTTCCGGTCACAAGCGCGTATGTGGCACCGCACTGGCCAGGCACGCCCATCCATGCACGATACTGGAGATCGGCGGCCGCGCACCGCCTCAAGAGTGCGAGGCATGGCGCACCCTGCAAAACTATACACATCCCCGCACAGATCCCGTCGTGCTCGTGGGCATTGTCTGTGACGACAAGATCCTGCTAGCACGGAAGCGAGGCTGGCCCAAGGGATTGTATTCGTGTATTGCGTACGTATACTCTTCTTACCACAGCGGTTTCGTGGAACAGGGGGAATCTATCGAGGAGGCGACACGCCGTGAGGCCATGGAAGAGACAGGCTTGGACGTCGGCCACGTGTCGTACCAATGGTACGTACCATCTGCTTACCCAGCTCGCAACCATGGCCTTTTCCCGCCCAGCTCATGCTGGGGCTCTTGGCTTTTGTCAAGACAGCCGATGCGCAGGTCCGGCTCGACCTCGACAACGAATTGGAAGAAGCCTTCTTCGCTACGAAAGAGCAAGTCAAAAGCATTCTCTGCTCACGAAACGAACAACAAAGCCGTGGCGTCGTACGGCATGGCCACCAAGTCACGTACGTAGAAACGCACTCACCCTCAGCGTACCTGGCCCCGAAGCCCTGGCGCACCAACTCTTGTCGCGGTGGGCCCAGCCTTCTCATCACGTGGAGGTGCATAGTCGTTTGTAATTGGCGCCGGCCGATCCCCTCCTTCGCCTTCTTCTGCCCTCTTCCTCGCCATGTTTGGCTCGGCAGTGCGAAGCTCGCGCTCTGCATGGAAGGGCCCCTTTTTCGTGCCCTTCCCTAACTTACAGCAGGCTCTGAAGAACAATGCGCCCATCCGCACGAATGCGCGGAGCTGCACCATTCTGCCCAACTTTGTGGGACTCAAATTCTTGGTGCACAACGGCAAGTTTCATCTTCCTGTGACCATCACGGAAGAAATGGTCGGGCATAAGTTAGGCGAATTCGCACCCACACGCAAGCGCTTCAGCTACCGTCTTACCAAGAACAAGTAAGCGGCACCGATACCATATGTGCCATGGTCTTCTGCGGCGCAAACTCCATGGCGCCCTCTCCTCGCCCCCTACGAATACGATGTACAGGACCTATCTCCTTCCGGATGCGCGAGACCAGGCGCAGTGGGTGGGTCCGACGCGGCGAATCAAAGCGTTAGCTCAAGTGTGTATAGTCCCCCCTCAAGTGGAGTGCAAAGGCCCGATAGCTCAGTGGAACGAGTGGCGCTTTCCGGTGAGTTCACCAACTCAGTAGGCTGGCTGGCGCAGGTCCCGGGTTCGACCCCCGGTCGGGTCTCGGCTTTTCCCTTTTTTATGCACTCCAAAAGAGTGTCCTACGCTGCGGCTACGACATCAGGGATGGGCGGATGACATCGCAGGCTGCCAAGGCCAATTGAGGTTTGGTGCAGGACTCGCCTTCCAGAACGATCAAATTTCGGAGTGCTCCGCCGTTCGGAGCTTCGTCATTTTGTGGTGCGATGGCTTTACCATGCTCCGGATCGCCGTGTTCAAACATGCCTGCATGGGCCTCAAGATACGCGGGCCACACGATCTGGTCAAAGTAGAATGGTGGATCTTGCCAAACCTCGCCATTATCCAAGATATAGTTGGCGCGCTCTTTGCGTCGCTTGTGCATCGTGTTTCGAGGAATGCGAATGAACAAGCGAATGTCCAGCAATGTGCGAACGACCGCGCTGTAATAGAGCAAGAAGCCTTCGACCAGTAGGATAGCGATCCGAGATGCCGGCCGTTCGGCCTGCAAGGCCTCCGTATGAAATCTCTTGCGCTGCACGGCAAGTTCCTCAGGGCTAAGCGAACAGGTATAATTGCTTCGTCGGTACTCAAAGCTCTGGAAATCGTCCGGTAGTTTCTGGTGCGCTCGGAAATATTGGATGACACGAGCAAGACGAGCGTAATCCGACTAATGTAAGTCGTGTATACGTACTGATCCATGTGGCGTGTCCCAATCTTGGACCTGCCATGCTTGGTTCCATGGAATCTGGTCGCTGGGAGGACAAAAGTCGTCCTGATGCAGGACGTCCACGGACACGATGGACGATGCTTCGCCGGCGAGCGGCGTCAGAATCGCTTGCAGATCGCTCGCGAGCGTCGACTTGCCTGAACACGTAGGTCCTCTGACACATGAGTGGGCGACACATACCCTATACCAATGACTACTACCTCAGTCATGGGCGGAAATGAGCAAGACACCTATCTCCACTATGTCCGGGGCTTTTTCGACTTCGGTGAGTCGTCTTCGTCCGGCACGGCGTCGTCGTCTTCGTCCTCACTCGAGCCTTCGGATGGACTGCCACCGTCGTCGTCATCCGACCCGGCCTCAAAGTCTTCGTCTTCTTCTTCGTCGTCGTCGTCGTCATCATCATCGCGACGGCGCTTGCCGGACTCATCTTCGTCATCATCGTCACCCAGCAGCTCGTCCACAGATGCTTTGATGCCCATCGCCTCCTCGGTGAGCTCATTCTTGACACGCAGTTTGCGTTCGGCGAAAAAGTGGTTGAGGTTATCGAGTTCTTCCCGGCTGATGGACTGGAACGTATGATCGACGCCGTGCGACAATTCCACACGCATATCAAACGTCTTGGCCGACGCCACAGCGCCGCCAACGCGACTGAAGACGAATTGGTGCACGTCATTGTACGAAATGAGGACAGGCTGCTTGGATACCCAGATAAGCCCGCGGTTGAGTGGGTATAGCACACCGTCGTTCGCCTTGACATTGCAACGCACGCATTCCTGACCCGTGCTGTTGGTAAAGCCTGTAGGCACGTGTACTTTTTGCTGTGAGAATACGCGGAAAAGATTTGTGACGATGCGGAAGGTCGGCTCCTCGTACCGCTTCTTGAGCTTGCCCTCGTACTTTGTCTGGATCGTCTCCTCGTCGAGATTGAGCTCCGCATCCATTTCCTCTTCGCGTGGGAACTGTAACACAAGGAACGGGTACCGCGTCTGGCCTTGTCGAATCGGCGGATCAAGCGCCACGATGAACAGGACATGCACTTCGTCTGGCTTGGGCAGGAGGAATAGCTGCGTGATGGAACTGTAAAGGATCTTGTAGTCGTACGTCTTGCCGCGCAGGCGCAAAAAGGAAGGGAACATGTCGATATCGTAGCGGCCACGCGGCGTAAGAACCAACACCTCTTTGAGCACGAGAATGCCATCACCAGCCACCTGTCCGATATCGGCCTTGGCCTTGATGGTATTGTGGAAGGCCAGCGCAGCGCTCTCCTCTTCACCGTCTTCTTCGTCGCCTTCTTCTTCGAGTTCCTGGTCTTCCTCCTTGACGTCCTTCTCGTCCTCCTCATCCTCCGCCTCGTCGCGCTCTACTTGTCCGGGGATGTAGAGGCGCATCTCAACGAGCTGATCAGGTCGGTTCTTCTTCGATCCCTGGAAGGGCAGGGCATCGGCACTGGACGCAGCACCGGTGTTTTGCTCAGGCTGCTGGTCCTTGGGATTGATAAACTCCATGCTGACTTCCGTACGGCCGGCAATGTTGCTGTTCGCAATATTCGCGAGCGGCAACGAGAATGCCAGCTTATTCTTCACAAAGAACCGGATATCGTGTTCATCGACATCAGCGGCGCCCCAATTCCAACCGCGCGTCGACACGTCAATCGTCTCGAGCGGCTTGTCATAGCACTCGCGAAGTACCTGCTCGAGCTTGGCATGGTCATCGCGCTGAAAGTTTTCAAACGTCGCGACATGCTCGCCCTCTTCCTGGTCCGACGTACCTTTGAGCCGGATCTTGAGCTGAAATTGGCGCGCCACGCGAAGCCACGCAAAGGCCGTCATCTGCTCAGCGGGGATGGTCACAGTCGCGCCCTCATCCAATGGCTTCCATCCTAAACCGGCATCAGAGAACCGGATCATACCCAGCAGCTTGCCGCTGCCATGGTACACGTTGTCAAACTGGGTCGTGGCCATCGTCAACGGCCCACCGATGTCGTGTCGGGCTCGCAACGCGCGTTCTACTGTGTTTAGTCAGCTATGGCACATAGAGCCTGGAAAAGGCCATGACAGGGGTGCGGCAGGTGGGGCAGAGCTGTACAGGGAGTACGCCGTGAGATCCTCGCACGACGACGGTGCGCTGCTGATTCGCGAGAATGTTTCGGCACTCATCACACAGAGCGAGGCACCGGCATGGCCAGTGAATGATCGTGCGTGGCTCGCAGCAGCACACGACACACAGCTGAGCCTGCTCGGACGGTGTTTGGTGCATGCGCCGCTCCTGCAGAATGTGCAAGATCGCGCGCTGCGTATGAGCATCTGAAGCGCGCTGCATATTTGCCATGTCAGAGGTGGACAAGAGCGCGGCTGCCGAGGCCCATGCATTGTGTGGCGTGCTTTGGCTGCAGGTCGAAAGAGCCATAGCACGGGTTTTGTCAGGCGCCTGCGCCTGCATCAGTCGGCGATACTCACTGCGCGTGAGGGGCGGAGCATGGTCCGGGCGCATCATGTGCTTCAGCAGCATGTCCTGGAACGCCGAGCGGTCGCCCTCGACCTGCACCATCGAGATGAGCTCGACAGGATCCAAGTCGTCAGCAGCCGACCACACGGATGGCGCATGAAGATCCGCTTGACGCCGGAGCGTGTAGCGCTCTCGTAAAGACATGAGACGCTCACGCATGGCGATCTGCTCAGCTTCTTGCCGACGTCGTGCCTGGATCCGCTCTTCTCGACGTGCCTCGCCATTGGTGCCGTGCCAAAAGAGGCGCACATAGCGCGGCAGCTGGACAAGGACCGGAGGCAGCGGTGGAACGTACGGCTTGAGACGCGATAGGGCAGCTTGCACCATGTGCAGCACGACACTATACAGTGCCGCCATAAACGCCCACGCATGCTGCAGCTTGTCGCCACCACGGACCGGTGAGCCAATCTCGGGTGGCCGCTCTCGCGACACAACACGCACATCACGGACTTCCGTCGCGAGGCCATTGATGCCTTCAGACTCGATTCGTTCTAAATCGGCAATACCATGCTGCAAAACGACACGCCCATCGGCATCCATTTCGACATAGGTATGCAGCGGCATATCCAAGCTTTTGAGCTCAAGAGCCAGGCCTGAAAAGCGCGTCGCGTGGAGACACGCTGTGCCAAGCTTGAGCACGGCAATCGTATAGTCGTCCGTAGACCGCGGCATGTTCACATGCGCGAACATGAGCCGTTGGAATGAGATATGGCCATCCGTCATGAGCATGGTGAAGGCGTGAAGAAACACGGTTAGCACGATGATGCCACCCGTCAGCGCCTCCATGAACCGAGATGTACTGTGTATGATGGGGTACTCTTCCGTGTACAGAGTTGTGTACACATAATGCAGTGTCATCAAAAGACCCAGCACAGAGGAAAAGACGAGTCGCGACACGGGCGGGCGGCGCCAGATGCGCAAGAACTGGAGACCCAGCAGCTCGATGACACGGGAAATCACAATCAGGTATACGTGTGCATCTGGTAAAAATGCACGGCTTGTCGAGTGGATGTACAACAAGAACCCAAAGCTTACGAGATTGAACGTCGATGGATCGTCCATCGAGGGAATATGCTCCAAGCTGCGAGCGGCGATGGAAGAGCACTGCGTGAAACACGCGCCGATAAACGTAGACCAGAATAGCGAGGCGTAATCTGTCTCAGGGTCAAGCCATGATGATGGCACAATCACCCGCGCGTATGACAGCCACACTTGCGCTGAGGGCGTATGCGTATCACGACACATGGCCACGTACAGCTGCACAAGAGGGCGAAGAAGCATGACAATAGCAGGCAAACGTAAAATTAGCCTTTTTACCAGTGTCAGATGGGCAGGGCGACCTGCAGGGGCACAGATATGCTGGATTCGGTTCATAACCACCACCTGATAATGAGTTGCCACATACATACCATCATCATCAGCACGAACGCGTACCGCGAAAAGAAAAACTGTAAGGGGCTCTCCGTAATGGTCTGTAATGCCTTTGTCACGCTAGCTGACGGCAAATGAGCAGCATCTTCTACAGAAGACATGTCGCTCAACACGCTGGTCGCATGCCAATGGGTGGCGTTGTGGAGAGTCGTCCGTGGCGCCCTGGATGGGGTCCATAAATCCCATTTTGTATGCTAGGCAGGGGGTATCTATGATCAGGGTATCGATAGCGATGCAAGCCCGCCTCAATTTTCGCGCCATTGGTAGCCACATTCGGTGCGCGTGCATTTGTAAAAGGTGGTCACTAGATGTGGTAAGGGGCATACACGTACTTGGCTCATCAGCAGATCGAATCTGCAGCTGCATGAAGTAGGCACGGTCATTGTCACACTTGGGACACGTAACTGGGGTGAGCAAGGCAGTATACGTACCTTCTGTGCTGTCCACATTTTTCCAACTATCTTCGCCGCCCATAACATCGTCGACCTGCTTGCGCTGCAGGTACATGCGCGACGACACTTGGAGCTGCATAGGAAATTCGAAAGGACACGTAGGACAGGTCCATTTGTTCTCACCTGTACTTGATGATGGAAGCACAGTCACCACATTCGCACAGTTGGGGCAGAACAACATGCTGGATGGAAGGAAAAGTCTCGGCCCACTCAAGGAACGTCGCGTGCGAGAAAAAAATCCAGGCTGGCGTTTTGCTCAAGACGCAAAAACTGAAAGCTCGCGGAGAAGACGCTCTCATAGCTCAGCTGGAAGAGCGCAAGACTGAAGCACCTGCCGCTTCATAAGTGGATGAACGAGTCCTTCTTGAGGCCACCTGTTCGAACCAGGTTGGGAGCATCTTTTTTTCTCGCATGAGTTTCATTTCGCTGCGGAATCGGAATCATATAAGGTAATTTCCAATGCTTAGCAAACACGGGCTCTCATAGCTCAGCTGGAAGAGCGCAAGACTGAAGCACCTGCCGCTTCATAAGTGGATGAACAAGTCCTTCTTGAGGCCACCTGTTCGAACCAGGTTGGGAGCATCTTTTTTGACGCGCACGTTCCTGGCACCATACTAGCTCTATGTGTGTCGTTTTTTGGACGACGCATGATCCAGACTACAGCTTAATTTTGCTAGCGAATCGTGATGAGTTTCTGCAGCGACCTGCTGAGCCCGCTGCATGGCGCACTCATGGCCACCGAATCTTATGTGGCATCGACGAAGTGGCAGGGGGCACTTGGGTCGGCATGTCGTCGTCGGGCGCCATTTCGGCCCTGACGAATGTCTACGAATTTCCGCAGGTACGGACAACAGCAGATGGACGTCCGCTGCAATCTCGTGGCGAGCTTGTGAAGCAGTGGCTTCAAGGTCATGAGTCGTTGAATACGCTGGATCACATGTATGCGTACCGGCATGCATACGGCGCGTTTAATTTATTGCTAGGTCGCATCAAGGATGGACACGTGTATATGAACTATCTGACGAACCGACCGAGTGATGCGCCTATCCGCTCGTGGCACGAACCGAAGGTGCGTGGCCTCAGCAACAGCTCCCCCAACGACCCATGGCCCAAAGTCCGATGGGGCGAGGCTCTCGTAGAGGACGTGTTGGCTCGCGAACGGCATGACGAGGCTGAGCTGATCGAGAGGTTGTTTGAAGTGCTGCAGAGCACGTCGGCGTCGAGCGCAACGCAGGAGGATCTGCCGCGTCTGATCCACGTACCGCCTATGCGCATGCCCAGCAGTGCGGACGGCACGCGACTGGCCTCGGCTCAAGAGGTGCGAGAGGGCACGACGGGATGGTACGGCACGCGCACGTCGACCATGATCCTGGTATCGCGTACTGCGCCATACCGAGCGGTGTTTGTCGAGCGAGACTGTTACACACTACACAAGAACGAGCCTAGGCGGATTTGTTACACGGATCCAGTAGAGCGAGCGAAGCACGAGCGATATTACGAATGGGAATTGACCGAATGATCAAAGCTGGTGTACGGTAAGGATGGCGACGCGGCCATCAATCGATATGTTGTGATTGATACCCTGCCTGCCGGGATGCAACAGGCCCTGTTTCCACTCGACGTGGGCGGTCCACGACGTGCCGCGGAATGCGCTGCCTTGGGTCGCCTTCTCGACGAGTAGGTCGCGGCCGATGTCGTAGCCATTCGGTGAGATGGTGTGGTGCCGCGTCACGTCCTCTTCCTTCGACACGGCGAGGAACCAGGCGCCTGTATCGGCCAGCGTGCCATTCTGGCGCCACACACGGAAGTGGTTCCCGCCCGCCACGCTTTCCCAACACGCACCGATCCATGCACCAGGCGATCTCGGCGAGGCGATACTGCGATACTCAAACAGCTGTGGCACGTGTCCCTGACCGTCGCCGAGATTCGCATACTGCAGACCACCTAGGTGGATGTGAAGGCACTCGAACGAGAACCCAAGCGAGCGTGCATAGTCAAGGAGGCCCTGGTCGCTCAGCACACGGCGGTCCGAGGCACCGGAAATGATCACATTGATAGGCTCACGGAATCCGTTGCCGACCACATCGAGCATGCTGCCGCCATGCTCGGCAGGATCGATCCAGCCGCGGTGCCGCTGGGTGTGTGGCTGCTGATCCGTACACAGCTCGACATGGCCGTCGACGTCGTGACTGGGGGCCTGAATGCGCCATGGTTCATGCTGCGCTACGTGCACAATCGCGTCCTTCTCGACGTGAGGCACATGCGCCGCGCTCGCCCAGGCAACGAGGCACACACCGATCCACCACCGCATGGGGACACAAACCTACATGTGGAGACAACAGGCACTATATTACGTCAGGGGCACTTTCGGGGGACGTGGCGGGGCCGTAGCAAAGGATTCGTTCTCGGCCCGCGGAGGCGCGAAGTAGGAGGGAGCGGGCGTGGGTTCGTCGGCGGTCAAAGCAGGTGGGGGTGCCTGGCTTAGGATACTCGTGATGGGCGGCTGGGCCGACTCGGTCGGCTGCGCATCAAGCTGGGCATAGTGGCTCTGGAGGCGGGCTTTTTCGTCCACAGCACGTGCCTCGGACTGGGTCAGGAACGGCGACGACGATGGTGTCTCGGTCGGGTTCGTGGGCGCAGCGCCCGGATCAACGCGCAGAGGCTCCGGAGGCGCATGCACGGGCGCCTGCTCCCGTGGGAACGAGACGCTCTCACCCATGTCGGACTGGTACTGCTCGGCCTCGGCTCGGGCGCGCTCAAAGAGGCGCACCTTTTCCTGCTCGGCGGTAGAAAAGGCATACGTCGGGTGCTGGGCCTGAGGCGCCTGCGCCCGCGGTGGCGTCATCATGACCGAGACGGGACGCTGCTTGGGCTCAGCTGTCGGCGACACATTCGCAAGGTACGGCGAGCCGTGCTGGCCTAGAATGTCGCCGGGACGCATCGACAGATGCGGCGTCTGCCATGCTGCGCTCGGCGACATGGGCGCGGCCGACTCTGTGGGACGCGTGGGCGTCGCCGTGCCCAGCGCGGCAAAGTCGCCCATCTCCACGGGGGGCAAGTCGCCTGCGAACACAGAATCAGGGCGAGCACCCAGCGAGGCGCGACCAGGCGCCATGGGCGACGTCGTGGGAGACGAGAGGTACGGATCGTTGTCGGCGACAAACACGCTGGGCTGCTCGCGCGCCGCGTGTGGATTGCTGTCCTGTGTGATGCCCAACGAAGGGACATCACCGATCCGAGCGATCATCGAGGAGCTCGCTGTGGACAAGAAGCCCGAGAGGAGAACATTGAGCCGGTCAAAGGTCATGACCGCTTTGCCGATCTTGATGTCCACACGCAGCGAGTGCGAGATCTCCATGTGCTTGGCTGTGTGGATGGACATGATCGCATTCTTCCTCGGCACAATCAGATTCAGGTCCTGCATAAAGTACTCGCCATGCTGGACCTTTTTGTTGATACGCTTGGTCTTGTAGTCGAGCATGATAGACTTTTGCTGGATGGGCTGGGCCTGCATACCGGTCTCGGGGAAGAAGCTGACGTTCTGGCGGATGCCGACCGAGATGGACTTGAGCTTGGTCGTCTTCATCGCCTTGCTCGCGACAATGATGCGCAGGTCCATCTGATCACCTACACTGTACGCCCACTTGTTTCGCATGAGCTTGGCCGTAAAGGGGCCCTCTTGTGTCTCGTACTCCTCCGGCACATTGTAGATCGGCCACGTCGAGTGCAACTCGTGCTTCTCCAGCACAAAGTCTTGCGTGTCCTGCACGACCGTCTCGTACGTGTCCTTGCGCATGAACCCTTTCTTGAGACGCACCTTCAGCGACGCTATCAGCTGGTACTTGATGCCGCTCGTCTTATTGAGACGCAGCGACGGCGGGAGCTTCTCCGGGACACTCACACGGAATGGAAACGACTGCGACGTGAGCGTCTGCCACGCCGTCTCAGCCTTCCACACGTCGATCGGACCCTCCCCGATCAACTCGCGCCACGACTGTCCACGCGGCAGCGTCTCGACCTTGCACATTTCCACACGGAGCCAGGCAGCCTCAACACCCCGCGACGAAGGCACATGCACCGCAATCGTGCCTGTCAAGTGCGCATCAGGACGTGAATCCGACGCGGGGATGCCGGGATAGCCCTGCACAAATGTCTGATTCGCCAGAGGCCGGAGCTCAAGCCTAGGCGGTGCCATAAGACAAGGAGCAAAAAGACTCGCCGGTGCCGCATTCCCTGCCAAGTCTCATACCACGTGGCACGCTACCTGCCTTTCTACTTACCCCGAGCACATGAGACAAGCGTCTTTGTTCTCGAGCGAGCATGCCAGACGCGCATCCGCCTCTTCCTGACGACGGCGTTGGCGCTCCTGTGCAGCCTTGAAGCCCTCATCGTCAGCCGGGTTTTCCGGGCGATCGCTGCCTGGGCCATCTTGCGTCACAGTGCCGTCCACACCCAACCGGCCGACGCCCTGCACGACCGATTCGTACTTGCGGTCGTCGTTCGCAGGTGCGCTCGTCTGTGCAGGCGGCTGTGCAGCAGAGGAGGCAGCCGTGTGAACTGCAGCCTTCTGGGCACTGACGGCCTTCTTGGTCGCCTTGGCCGCGGCAATCTCCTCGTTGCTGACGGTGAACTGGATAGCACTGGCGGCGGGACGTGTGCGAAGGTAGTACGAGCCGGTCTTGAGACCCTTCTTCCAGCCGTAAAAGTGCATCGACGTGAGCTGACCGAACGATGGGGCGCTCAGGTGCACATTCAAACTCTGGCTCTGGCAGACAAACGCACCGCGATCGGCAGCCATGTCGAGAATCACCTTTTGGCTGATTTCCCATACGGTCTTGTACAGCGCCTTGATGTTGTCTGGGATACCGGGCACATTTTGAATCGAGCCGCCGTGCGCGATAATCTTTTGCTTCATCGACTCGTTCCACAGACCCAGCTCGACCAATTCACGCAACAGCCACGGGTTCACGACCTGGAACTCGCCGGCGAGCACGCGGCGCATGTAAATGTTGCTCGTGTACGGCTCAAAGCACTCGTTAAAGCCAAGGATCTGACTTGTCGAGGCGGTCGGCATCGGCGCGAGCAGCAGCGAGTTCCGCAGGCCATGCTTGGCAATCTTGGCCTTGAGGGCCGTCCAGTCCCACAGATCAGAGGGCGTGCGGTTCCACATGTCATACTGCAAAATGCCTTGCGAGGCCGGACTGCCTTCGTATGTCTCGTACGTGCCGTACTGCTCGGCAAGCTCGCACGAGCGCTCAAGCGCGGCGTGGTAAATCGTCTCAAAGATCTGCACATTCAGGCGGCGAGCCTCTTGGCTGTCAAAGGGGTAGCCCATGATCATAAAGGCATCGGCTAGGCCCTGCACACCAATACCAATGGGACGGTTGCGCATGTTGG